GAGTATTTTCAGAAATAGTGCCTTTTGAGCCTAAACAATTTTATTGGCACCTTATCAATGTTAACTCCTGGAAGCTGAACAAGGATTTGAAAGGTTACAATCTTAGATTTACACACCTAAATTTTAGTACCACCTTACAGGTCACATGCCAAACTCTTCAGAAGTTACGAGCTGTTCATGAGACTCACACAGCTACTTGTTTATGTATGTTTGTGATACTGCTCCCTGGGTTATACTTTGGAAACTCACCAAAAGGTTTAGCAGTCTTAAAACTTTCCTCACCTTTGGCTAAATAAGACTTTCATGTATACAACTAATGGTTGGGGGACCAGGACCCAAAAAGTCAGCATGGCCTGTTTGGCACAAAACAAGAAAAGAATCCAGAAAGATGTATAGGTCATCTCTATATACAATCAAGTATAATGTCAAGAATTGAGTTTCAAGATTTGCACAAAAAATTTTAAGCTTTTTTTTTGTTTGGTTGGGGGTTTTTTGTTTGTGTTTTTTGACTGAGTTTTTTTTGGGGGATGGTTGGGTTTTTTTGTTTGTTTTGTTTTGGGTTTTTTTTTTAAGGATGGAATTGACACAGTGTAATCCCTCATTTTGGTCAGTGCTGCTCAGGGCAGCATCTGTTCCAACTCAAGCAAGACAACTTTGAAAGCCATGCTTTATTTTTCTTTCCCCCAGCAACTCTCCATTACTTGATATTTTAAATTTTTTTTTCTGGTGTTGTAATGTATATTCAATTATTTAAAAATGAAATTATTATTTGTTACAGGTATATAAAACTGTAGGCAGTGCAAACACTGAAATTGTCAGCAAATTCTTGGACACAAGTCTTTTACCAAGTGTTCCTAAATCAGCAGTTGGTTGTAATGGCCTATTTATTTCTCAAAGCTGACAAAGTCTCACAAAATTTATTTCCATCAGATGAATGTTAAACACCTGTTTCACCAATTCACAAACCTTAGCTTTTAATGTTGATACAAAGAGCTTAGTTGACTATGGAGAAGACATGATTTTTTTTTTTTTTTGTAACATGAAATGAACACGATAGACAAAGGAACGTTGAAAGTGTTTATTGCCTGCAGCATAATTCTGCATTTTATGAGATAGCCTAGAAAGTGGACATAGAGCTTCAGAGGAAACAAGTTTCTCTCTTTTGAGATGTCCACTAACAAAAAGTGAGAATTTCCTTCTTAGTGTCAACAACTACTAGTAGGATATAGGAAATGGAGTTTCTCTAGGCCTAGGAAAAAGATTAGAAACAGGATTTATATTAGGAGATGCCCAGTGCTAATTACAAGTTTGTAAGGTTTGTGAGCCCTTGTGAAATGTCAACCTGAAAACAAAGTTCTGTGTATTTCCACTGTGAAACAGAAACAGCCTGAAAGTTAATCTTTAATGGTAAGCATTCCATCCAGCAACACATTTGGATCAATAATGACTAAACCACGCCTGCCCAAAAGTAGGAACCATGATAAAAAAAATTATAAATTTGATTATTTTTGTGGTTGAGTTCAGTAAAGATCCCTGCTTGCATGAGAACCAATTGGCCTCTGAGAACACCAGCATTCAGAAAATCCCAAAGAAAACACTCCTCCTTTTTATGATTCTTCAGTAACTATACAAATGGGCATTTGCAAGCCATTTAACTGAAGAATTTAGAAAGGGCTAAAGTCTCATGGGGACATCTGACAAGAAGGTGCTATGTTTACATTGGGGAATATAAAATCATATTATGTTTAAGGATTTGTTTATAGCAGTCAAAGTTTTAAGAGTAATCAGAGATTGTATTAGACAATCACAGCTTCTTCACAGATATTATTCCAAGTTCTGTTTTCTATATGTTCCTTTTCAGAATGCAGCACTGCAGAACAGGTATACAAAATAGGCTAAATTGAATCCTCAACTGCAACATAAAATATTTGCTTGTTTTTTTTCCTTTTTTTTTTCTTTTTTAAATTTATTATCTTTTATAGGGGGAGTTGATTGTGTGAGGGTGGTTTAGTTTTTTGTTTTTTTTTTTTTTTTTAATTAAGCTTCTTTTTTACGAATGCAACCTCCTGAGACCAAAAAGTACTGTGAAGGGTTGGTGCCTGTGTGTTTCGCTGTGGACATCAGGTGCCAGAAGAAACCCTTTGGCCTGGCAGGGCGCAGTGAACAGACACGTCTGTGAAGGGCATCAGCAGTCTGCTGCTTGTCACTCCGAACTATCCAACGCCGGGAAACCCACTCTGCCAGGGCGGCAGGAGTTCGAGGTGAAAGAGAAAAAAAAGAAAGTTGCCATCTCTCATTAAGATTTATTATACGTCTGAACTTTTGTAGTCCCGAAGCTTAACGACAGATGGTGGTGTAACTCCACCAATTTTGTAACGTCTCCTTTTCTTTGATGTTGTAATACAGATTCTCCTCGACTTGACTTCGGTTAAAACCAGCATTTTCTGCTCTCTCCCAAGTGTCTCGGAGCAGTACGCAGGGAGGAAAGGGAGTGCACCTAGTTCGAAGAGGAGTCTGTTATGTGTTCTTATTCACTTTCTAAACAATCCTAATAGAAAATAGCAATCTTATTGACACCTAACACTGCCAGCAGCACAGAGAAATTACATGAAATTAATTAAAGGAAAATGGTTTCAAAGCGGTTTATTTCAAGCGAGAAATACAACTGTGCAGATGAAATCTTGAACCGTAAACAGGAACAAATAAAACGCACCAGCATTTTTCATTACAAAGCCAAGTCACATTTTATACCTTAGTCGTCCTTGCAAAAAAAAAAAAAAAAAAAAAGTGGAGAAGGTGCGTGTTTGTTTAGCTTTAATTTTGGGTGGAACTGCCAAGTCGCGCCGAGTAATATTAGCGGCCAAGCGCCGTGTTGTTCCCGGCACATTGTGCCCACCAGACAGAGTCTGCCTGCGAGGCCCCACTGAACAGGATGAGGGGTTCGTGGAACAAAGCGCAGCCCGGAGAGAAGGCTGGGAGTGCTGCGGGCACTCACGAGAGCGGCCGGCCGACGGCCCGACGGCGGCGGCCCGCAGCAGGGCAGGGCAGGGCAGGGCAGGGCCGGGCCGGGCCGGAGCCGCGGGTCGCCGCGCGCCGCCGCTCCCGTCCCGCCGGCAGGGGCTGCCGCGGTCGCCCGGCGCCCAACGAAATTGGCGGTGCCCGCGGGCGGGCCGCGCCGTCCCGCCGGTTCGATGCCGCGGGCTAACCCCACAGAGAGTGCGCTGCACGCTGCCTTCCGCCGGTACCAGGATTTGTCCGCTACCGCAGACGGCTCCTGAGGGACAGCTGCCTCTCCCCCGGGGAGCGCTTCGTACCCGAGGAGACGGGGGGCCGGCGGTCTCCGGACCGCACAGCTAGCGCCCCGCGAGGCTCCCCGCCCCTGCCCGCGGAGCCCATGGGCGGCCGGAGCCTGCGGGGCCCGATTTCGTTTGCGGACCGGAGGGGCGCGTAGCGGCGGGTCCCGCGCGGCTCCCCTCCCGCCCCGCTGGCTCGTGGGGCGCGGAGCCGTGGAGGGCGGCTGCCCGCGGGAATTCTGTCCCACGGCTCCGCGGGGTGCGCCGCGAGTATCCCCCGCAACCGTTGCGCTCGTAGCCCTCCGCGGTAGCGCGTAGCGCCCCGGGTAACGGGGCGAGGAGGGGGGACGAGGGGCAAAAAGACAAAAGAGCCGCGAGTAGCAAATAAATATATTTTACGGCCACCCATCGGCAGCACCGCGGCCCCGCGAGCCTCTGCCCCGGCGCTGAACTTTCACCTCGCGAACCCGGCCGCGCCCCATTGGCTGCCGGCCGGCAGTGCCCCCGCCGGGGCTGGCCGGCGGCCCCGGGAGCGAGCGGCGCGGCGGGCAGGCGGTCTGTCACTTGCCTGTAGCAGCGAGTGGCAAAGTTTGTGGGATTTTTAATTGTGCTTAATAAATGCGGTGACTGTTAATTCTGAGTGACAGTCACTTGTGATCCTGACCCTCGGCGCGTACAGAGAGCCCTGCTAACGCTGGGGCTGCCGGGCGGTAATTAGGTGGGCTCCGAAATAACAAACCCCACGTTCCGCTCGGCCACCGCCGTCCACTTTCTCCCTTGCCCACGCAAGGTCTTTCCACCCAAACACATCCAAAGCGCCGATTTACTGGGAACCGTGGCGAGGACAAGGGAGCACAAGACCAGCTATAGCCACGATGCCAGCACTTTTCTCCCGTTCCCCCTGATACTCTATCCCACGCAGAAATCACTTAAAAGTGTTTTTTGTTTGTTTGGTTTTTTTTTTTTTCCGGCAGCCCCAGGGCCGGGCGGCCGTGCCAGACAGGCGGGGAGCGGCCGGTCCCTGCTGCGGACATTTGGGGTGTCCTGCACCTTGCTCCAAGTGCCGGGGCCCGGGAGAAGGAAAGTTTCAGGGCCCACGCGTGCCTCCGCGGCATAGCTGCTGCCATCGGCCAGGCCTGCCCCGCCGTCCCCCTCCCACTCGGGTTCCCCGGGCTGCCTTCGCGCGGGGCCGCGGCACCTCGGGGGCTGCCAGCAGGCTGCAGCCGGCCGGCACTGCCAGCACAACACACGGCTTTGTTTTCCGCCCGTCTGCTAAACTCGTTGTGTCTAACGGAGCCGGCGGAGCAGGGCGGCGGGAGGGGAGAGGGGGCGGGAAGGGGCAGCCGCCGCCAGCAAACAACTTCCCCGACGGTTTGTTTACATAGCAGGTGGAGCTGCCGTCCGCCGCGACCCACAGCGCCCGCTCCGCCGGGAACCGGCCGGGGGAGGCGCGGGCGGAGCGGGGCACGGCCCGGCGCATCCCGCCGCACTTTTTTTTGTTGCCGTTCCCCCTCCGCTGCTTTCCCCCCCACCCCTCCCCGCGTTATTAGCACTTCTGTGCAGGCCACTCTGCGATCATGTGAGGGAGGGCTCCCTTCGCACTCCCCTCTCTCCAAAGCAGCCGGTGTGTGCGGCGGGTTTTCTTTTTTTTTCTCCCCTCGTCTTTTTTTTTTTTTTTTTTTTTTTTTTCGCATTCCCAACAAAACACATACACACAGGCGGCACACTCCGCACACGGGCGGACCCGCACGCCGGGGGAGGGAGAGCAGCACCGCCAGCGCCAGGCAGCACCAGCCGGCGGGAGGGCGCGAGGCTCCGACGCCGCTCCGCGCCCGCGGAGGGCCCCGCGCCGCCCGCCCGCCCCCGCTCCCCCGGCCCGCGCGGCGGCTCCGCCCGCAGGGACTCTGTATGTGCGCGCGGCTGCGCGCCGCTCCGCTCGCCCTTTCTCTCTCGGTGTCAGCTCGCCGGGACGCCCTACACGGTGTCTCCTCCCGGTAAGTGCTACCCCCCCCACCCCGCCCCGCACACCCGTCCCCTCCTCCCTGCGCTCCCCGATGTGACTTGCTACTTCCAGCGCTTCCACCCCCCCTCCGCCGCCGCTCACTGACTTGCCGCCGCCGCGGGAAAGTTTGGCCGCGGCCGGCGCGGCCGCAGCAGTGACATGTGTCAGGTCTCCCGGCACCCGGTGGCACCGCTCCCAAACACGCACCGCCAGCGGGGGGCGGGGGCGCGCTCTGCGGTGGGAGCCTGCGGTGCCCCAGCTGGAGTTGGGGCCGTGCCCGGCGGGCCGGGCCGGGTCGGCCGCGGGAGCCAGCGTGAGCTCCCCCAAAACAACTCGCGGCGGCTGCGGGTCGGCAGGGCCTCCCTCCCGCCGCTCAGCGCCGCGGACCCCCACCCCCGCGTAATTAAAAACAAACAACCTGTAGCCTCCCCGCACGGGTAGAGAAGTGCCAGGCGGGGAGGGCTTTGGGCCAGGCTGCCGAGGAAGCGTGTGCGGGAGGCTCAGCCGCCCGCCCTTTGCCTCCCCCCCTTTGCCTCCCCGTTTGTGTGGTGGTGTATTGGGTTTTTTTTTTCCTTTTTTTTTTTTCCTTCTTCTTTTTCCCCGAGACCTCCCCAGCAGACAGCCCGGGTGAAGAAACGTGTCACGTTTCTCCTTTGTGTGCTGCCTGCCCGCCTGCCCGCCGGAGGGAGAGGCGCACCCCAGCCCCCGCCTCTCCGCCCGCCCGCCCGCGCGGAGGGGCCGCTGCCGGCCGCCCCCTCGGGGCGCCCCGCGCCGCGCTGCCCCGGGGCGCCCCCGCTGGCGTGGGAGGGGAAGCGCAGGGGCGCCGAGGTGCCCGTGGGGAAGCGGTGACCCCGGGCGCTGTTTGGGCTACGCAGGGAACAGGGTCGTCCCCTGGCCTAAGACAAAATTGCCTAAACCCAACAATTAATAAATAATAGTGTTGGAGCTGCGGAGTTCCGGAGGCGGCCTCCGTGCCTGGTACGTAGGGGCCTTCCCTTAAAATTGGCTTTGAAGTTGAGGAGGGCTTCGGGACTTGGAAAGTTTGGGAAGCGTGATAGATTATGAGGAGAGGAGAGCGGCCGCGGCGGCCTTGGCTGTGGAGCGAGCTACGCTCCGCCGTGCCATCGGGAGTGCCAGGGCAGCCGTAGGACGGAGGGCGAGCGCCGGCGCCTCCGCTCCGCGTTCTGCCGCGCCGAGCGCGGGGTGCGCAGGCGGCAGCGCTCTCGGCCTCCCGTAACCTGCCGAAAAGCCCTGTGCCGCCGGCGGAGCCTGCACGGCCAAGGTAAAGGCAGTCCGTGAGGCGGTTTTGTTCTTTTCCCGTAGTTCGGCTCGCGGCAGGTTCTTCAGGCAGCGGGCCCGTGTCGCAGCGCAGCCCCCGGCCGAGAACGCTGGCGAGCGCTGGTGAGGTCCCGGGATGGAGCTACTGGAGAGGCGTAAAGCTTAGGCTATGGGCTGGCAGGAATAACGCTCATCTAAAATTTGCGAGAATTGTCCAGAGAGAAAGTGGGCTGCTAGTATATTCTCCAGGGAGAAATAATCTCAAAAGTAACCACCGTGAATCTGTGGTATTGTCCTCTATGAGTAAAGAGTGCAGAGCTGCAGATGGAGGAATGGGCAGTACCCTCTACCTGGGAATCACTTCTACTTCTAGGAAGTCTTGCCTGTGTGCATACGTACCGAGAGAAACACAGAAGTTCCTCTTCCAAAGAGGATCTTCCCTGGTCTTTTCTGTGCGTTAGAGCCCCTATCCAAACTCAGCTCTTGTGAGTGGGAACCTTTCCTTTGACAGCAGTATAGGAGTCACTCCATTGACTTCACAGGCTCGGATCAGGCCCTTGGAAATTGTTTTACGAAGGTGGGACTCAGAAGTTGTGCGTGGTGTCTATATCCCCCCATTAATCCATGTGTGGGGGGGGAAAGAAGTCAAAGTTTTAAGATATTTTGACAGTTTTAAATTTTTTCTTCTGTGTGCTAAGTAATTTAAAGCCATTAAGGAAAAACATTACTGCTAGTAATATTACTCTAAAGAAAATATGATTAATTATTAAATTGGTTTCTCTAATGCTACGCTAAACCCTTTTAAGTGGGATATGGTTTTGATCATTCAAATTAGTATTTTCTAAAGTTTTTTCTTGATGATAATTTGTTCATGTAAATGTAGATACTGAAAATACCCCTGTTTTGGAGTAATCTGCAGCTTTAATGTAGTTCTTACAAAACAGTTTTGTTCTGTAACATTTTTGCATGCTTAAATCATTCATTTAATTACTCAGGATGGTAGATCAGTAAGAGGTTAAGGGAAAGGAAAGAGTATTTCCAATACAGCATTTCCAAAATGCATGTAGTTAGACATCCTAATTTATTTTGATAATATGTAACCCCTGAAATACACTGCTTCATGTGAGGCCTTATTGGTGTAGGCTTTAAGGTTTAACAGTAACCTTAGGAGGAAGCTTACGCAGAATCAATTGTATAAATATTTGTGTATTTCTTTGTTTTTAGTTTAACCTTAGCGATTTTTACATTGTGTCATGGGATCTTTGCTACAGTGCAGTGTTTGTATCTGAGAGAGGAAAAAATCTAAATGTTTTGTAGCTTTCTGTTTAATGAAGATTTACGTAAAATGACCAAATAGTCTCTAAGGAACAACCAACGTAGAGTGGGTTTGAGTGTGAGGAAGAGTAAAAGAAATACACCAAGTTCGGGACATTTCAATACCAGTAAATACATGGTACACTTTTAAAACTGCACTAGGGTTTGTGCAGTAGTCAGGTGAATATTTCACAGATTTTTGAAGTGACTTGTTTATTTGGTGGTGTTTGACTTTTTTTTTTTTTGGTTGCATTTTTTTTCTATAATCATCTGTTGCTTATACATATTTTAATACTTTCCATAACAGAATGTGTTGGGACTATCATTTTAAGAATAAAGGTGTATTTGTTTAGAAACATTCCTGTCAGACTCCATTATTATTTTTTTAAAGTTCTTGTTGGTCTTAATTATTTTTTTTTGTTACTGTAGAATAAGATTTTTTTTTTAAAGGACTAATTTATGTGAGCTGGAATAAGCTTTTTGTATTCTGAGAAATATACCTGATTCAGCATTGCATGCACAGGAGTTATTCAAGGCTAGTGGGCTGAAAACAATAGAAAACTTCTGAGATGTGATCCGTGTTGTGGCAGTGTTTTGCTATGTGTCATTGAAAATGTCACTTAACCTCTTTGTTTTTCATCATTGATGTATGAGGGCTGGTATTTATCTTTCTGATAGAGGGGTTAATTAATATTTCTTGAACATGGAGTACTTTTTTGTTCCATTTCAATTTTTACCTAGTTTAATTTGGAGAAATTAAATTGTGATTGTGGCTGAAAATGAATGGTTCCTAGGAGTCATGTTTTTTTCTTTGCTGGTCGTATTGTGAAGAGGTCACTTGCTTATATGAAATGAAATGATTTAGGATATATTTCATTGAAAAGTATTCATTGAATGATTTTGACTGGAGAAAAATGCAAATCACAATCAAAATAAAAAATGCCATCAACTTTGTTGTAAAATAATAATTTTCTGTACATTGGAACTGATTATTCTTTTAAAATTTTGTGACAGCTAATAGGTCTAGAAGTAATGCAAATCGTCTGTTTTTTTCACAGCCACCGTAGCATACTTCTCAGCTAATCCTTGTTGGAAGAAATACTTGTCATTTAGATTCCTGTTCCCTGCCCTGTTTTGATTTGATACCTTTCTTGATTGTATGTGTAAAATAGTGGCATCAGAAAAACCTCATATAAGCGATGAAATTGTAGAAAATCTTAGCTGTAATAAACTAACCTCTTAAAACTAATATTAAAATTGCAGTAAAGTAGTTCCTTGTTAGTTGTTTGAAGGCTTTCTTCCACATTTGTTGCTTTACAGAATAAGTATACTTACTGTAATAATTTCCAAGAGTAGCTTTAGACTTAAATTTCAAAACTTCTAGACCAGCATAAAAACAAGAAGCAGTCTCACAAGTGTTATTTAGCACTGATCATCTTTTTTTTTCTCTTTCTGAGGCTTTCAGTAGCTTAGTCAAACTTACTGCTTTTAAAAATCTTCCAAAAGAGGCATCTATTATTTGTTGCAAGATTTGCATCTGTTTTTGTTTTCTGTTTAGTTTTTTTTTTAATCCCATTTCTGATAGGTTCGTGTTTAAGGGCAACACCATCTTTTATGTCAGAAAGGTGGTTTTGAAAGTGCCAGTAATTGCTTGCTTATGCTGTCATCACTGAAGTAGCTGAAAATAATCTCTTTAATGAACAATTGCTATGATGTTTGTTGCTTCACCAATGTATAGTTTGGGATGATGTTACAAAGTAACATTTGACCTCTGAGGAATGAATTTGTTTAGAATTATGTTAAATATCACAATTTCAGTTTCTATTTTAAGAAAAATAAAGTTAAAATACTAAGTATATTGCTTTAAGATTTTTACTGTCTTAAGTCTTTTTAGTAAGTTGTAGGAGGGAATAAGAACATTGTATGTTTAACATTTTGTTCATTTACTTATTTATTTCTTTTTCTTGCTCATAGTAATTACACATGTGTAGTTGGAAATGGGTTTGCTGCAGTTTGTTTCTTATTTGACTACATGCATTAATCAGGCTGGTTGCTGAGGACAGAGCCGATACCCCTGTGTGCCCTGAGTGTGGGTGTCTCTTCTGCTGGGTGGCAGAGGGCTTTAGGTAGGTAACAGATTACTTTCTAATTGGTTAGGCTGAGGAACAGCAAACAGGTTTAAAGGACAGGCAGCGCCTTCATTCAGCGTGCAGAAAGGAGATTTTCTGCCCTGCCCACTCCATCCACCCCCCTTGCAGTGCTATGTGATGTCCATTCTGGGGTGAAAGGAGAAACTACAGACCTCCATCTACAACCCTCTGGGTCACAAAGAACCCTCTTTGAAATTCACAGGCTGGCTTTGGCTTATCTGTAGAACTTGCTTGTTTACCAAGGAGCTTC